ATGCCCTTCGGATGTACGTTGACCTTTTCTCACGCCCGCTCTCGGACGCGCACATTGCGGCTGTGCTGGCCTTGTTTGGATGGGAATCACCCCAGGAACCGTGGATCGACGGGCCGGCTGTGGCCTAGTGACCCGTTCTGCTACGCGGGGTCGTTGTGGGCATCGCAAATGAATGCACAACCCCTTAAGATGTTGGTGTGGAATGTCCGTGGGCTTAATGCTCCGGCGAGGAGGAACGCTCTATTTCAGGTGGTGACATCCGCCAATCCGGCCATTGTATGTCTACAAGAGACGAAATTGCATGATGTATCTGCAAGCATTGTGCGCCAATGCCTTGGTAATAAATATGAGAAGTTCTTCTACTTACCGGCGTTGGGAACACGTGGTGGGATCTTGGTGGCGTGGGATGAATCTATTACTCACTTGTCCAACCCACACTACACAAATCATACGTTGACGGCACTGGTCAAGTGTCCGGAGGATGAACAAGCCTGGTGGTTGACATGTGTCTACGGCCCCCAGGAGGAGGCCGACAAACTTGAGTTCCTACAAGACCTGGTGGATATACGGGACCTGCACGCGGGGCCTTGGCTAGTTGCTGGAGACTTTAATCTCATAGCTGGGCAGGAGGACAAGAACAATGATTTGATTAATCGGAGGATGTTAAGGCGGTTCAGATCTAAGCTGAACATGCTAGAACTGAAGGAGTTATACCTGAATGGGCGACGATACACTTGGTCCAACGAGAGGCAGAACGCAACACTAGAGAAAATCGATCATGTCTTTGTCTCCAATGAATGGGATGAAGCATTCCCATCATGTTTCCTTTCTGCGCTGGGTACGGCAGTATCGGATCACTGCCCACTGCTTCTCGATATGAACTTGGAGATTATGACAAGGAAAAGGTTCAAGTTTGAGGCGTTCTGGGTCAAGGCGGAGGGATTCATGGAAACAGTACAGGCGGCTTGGGACTCCACCCCTGTGGCCTCGAACGACTATATTACGCTCCAGAACAAGCTGAGGGCCACGGCGGTTAGTCTTCAGAAGTGGAGCAACCGTTGGATTGGTAATGTAAAGTTACAGATATCCATTGCATTGGAGGTGATAAAGCAGCTAGACGTTGCCATGGAATCAAGACAGCTAGCAGATGCAGAGAGGGATTTGAGGCAACGCTTAAAGAGGAAGCTGTTAGGGCTATGCTCACTGGAGAGAACTATCGCAAGACAACGCTCCAGGCTACTGCAGCTCCGAGAAGGGGATGGGAGCACGAGGCTTTTCCATCAACGAGCTAGTCACAGGCAGCGGAAGAATGTACTCAAATCGGTGAAATACAATGGGGCTATTCACTCAGGGCAGGAAGAGGTGGCGTCCGCGGTGGATGCGTACTACGGCAGGGCTTTCGGCACCGTGGAGCCGCGGAGTTACACACTAAACCTACAGGGGCTAGACCTGCCGCATCTGGACCTATCACAGTTGGAGGTGGCTTTCACTATGGAGGAAGTGGAAAACGTGATTAAGGATATGCCCCCGGATAGGGCGCCAGGGCCGGATGGGTTCACGGGCCGGTTCTATGCAAAGTGTTGGAACATTATTAAGGTAGATTTCATGAAGGCCATGGATTGCTTCTACAATGGAGACATGAGGGGATTGGCGGCTATCAACAAATCTTTGGTGACATTATTGCCTAAGATGGATGGTGCTTTGGACGTGGGTGACTTCAGGCTGATCAACCTCGTGCATGGGGCTATCAAAATTTTTGAGAAGGTGCTTGCTTGTCGCTTGGTGGTGCACCTTCCGTAGTTGGTTGGAAACCACCAGAGCGCTTTTGTGAAAGGTCGATCGCTGCATGACAACTTCATGTTGGTTCAAAGTATGGCCCGAAGGCTGAATGCCCTGAGGATGCCCTCGGTGCTTCTAAAGTTAGATATTTCGAAGGCCTTCGATTCGGTGCAGTGGCCGTTCTTGCTTGAGGTGATGCAACAAATGGGGTTTGGCCCTCGGTGGAGATCCTGGATCCGTGGAATCCTTTCAACATCCACCACCAAAGTCATGGTAAATGGAGACCCCGGCGACACCATCTATAACTGCAAGGGGCTGCGACAAGGGGATCCGATATCGCCGATGCTATTCATTCTTACTATGGAACCGTTGCAGAGGTTGTTTCAGAGGGCCACGACTAATGGTGTGTTGGAGCCCTTGGCACATACAGGTATGAGGCAGCGCTTGTCTATATTTGCTGATGATGTGGTGGTGTTCATCAAGCCCAAGTCCACGGAGCTAGACATATGCAAGAACATTCTGGAAATGTTTGGAGAGGCTTCGGGCTTGAGGATAAACATGGGCAAATCGGTGGCCCTACCGATAAGATGCAATGATCAGGAGGCAGGTACGGTGTGTCATCGGCTGGGATGCCCGAGAGGGGCTTTTCCAATTAAGTACCTTGGGCTGCCGCTGACCTTGAGGAAGCAGTCCGCGGCACAAATGCAGTTTCTAGTTGATCAGATGGCAAATTGTCTGCCTAAGTGGAAAGCGGCTCTAATGCCGAAGAGTGGGCGGCTTACATTGGTGAAGTCTGTGCTCTGTGCCATGCCCATCCACGCCATGATGGCGCTCGACTTACCAAAGAAGACGATTGCGGCAATGAACAAAGTGTGTAGAGGCTTCCTATGGTGCAGAAGAGCGGAAGCTAACGGAGGGAACTGTGCGGTTGCTTGGGATTCGGTGTGTGCGCCGAAGTGGGCTGGTGGCTTAGGGATACCTAACCTTAGATGGCTGAATGTGGCCATGCAAGCTAGGTGGGCATGGCTCACAAGAGTGGACACGAGTAGACCTTGGAGCGAGTTCAAGATCAAGATCCCCAAAGAAGCTAAGTTACTTGTCCAGGCGGCTATGAGGAGTGAAGCAAACTGTGGTCTCCATACACTTTTTTGGGAGGATCGTTGGCTAGATGGTATGCGGATACAAGAGATGGCTCCAACAATATATGGTATGATCCCAAGGCGGACCAAATTGACGAGATCAGTCGCCCAGGCTGTGCAAAATGGGTCTTGGGCATCGGATGTTGGCCTGAATATTGGTGAGGGAGCATTGCAGGAGTACTTACAGCTTTGGATCAAAGTAAGCACGTGGGAGCAGCAGGCGGATGGGCCGGACTTGGTCGGTTGGTCATGGGAGACCAACGGCCGTTTCTCGGTGCGCTCGGCTTACGCGGCAAAATTTTGGGGACGGACGGTTGAGCCTATGGCAGAGCTGACCTGGAAGTCTCACGCCCCAGCTACCTGCAAGTTTTTTGCTTGGCTTGCCTTAAGAAACAGGTGTTGGACCTCCGACAGACTGGCGAGGAGAGGCCTCCCACACCAGGATGCATGCCCCTTATGCGACCAGGAGGACGAAACGATTGATCATGTGCTACTGACGTGCGTCTTTGCCAGGTCAGCGTGGGCTGCAGTATGTGAGGCGCTGGGCATGCTGGACTGGACTCCGACTGCACACGATTCCTTAGCCATCTGGCTTGCGGAGAAGCATGGGACTAACGGCTGGCATAAGAAGGATCTTCATACGGTTTTCTTGCTGACTTTGTGGGAGTTGTGGAAGCATCGCAATGCTATTGTGTTTGATGGGGCATCACCTTCGTTAGGTGTTTTACTAGGTAGAGTAAGGTCGGAAGGAAGAATGTGGTCTATTGCCGGCAAGTTTAAGAGAGACATGGACCCCTTCTTCCTTCGGCTTGAACGGTGGGCTAGTAGTGAGGATTATGAGTGTTGTAATATGAACCTTGGAACTATGGTGGAGGCACTCTTTGCCTTTCTTCTATAATATATAATATGCACACTCGTGCATATTCGAGAAAAAAAAAGAATTCAGGGAAACCAAACCCAAACGTTTTAAGAAGGCGGACGTCCTGGCGGCAAAGGAATGAAAGTACTTTTCTACCAGAGCATGAAAGTGTCTGCCTTGGTGTTGCCCGAGCTGTACCTGTGTTATTCTTCTGCATATATGAGTTGTAAACTTGTAACGGTATGTCAGTAACTGACGTGCTGAATTCATCAAGTGCTAGCAGGATATATAGGCGTGCTCCGCTACAGCCTACAGCTATCCTGTCATTTGAGTGAATCGTTGAGGATTTTGGGCTGTTCTGTCAGGTTGTGAGGGAGATCAGAGCCTTAAAATCGTATTCTGCTGTCATAGCGGAGGCGCTTCGGGCTTGGCTTCTGGATGTCATGTTTTTGTAAGCCTGTCTCAAAATTCTCGGCTCTGTCACTCACTAATTCAACTTTGCTAGGGTGTGGCTTTGAGCAGAGTTGGAGATGTTGCCGGGTAGGTAGGCCTTTTGGTTTCTTTGTTCCCTTTTCTGGTTGAAACGGTTGTAGCACACTAGGTATTTTCTTTGAAATAGATAAGAGGAAATCCTTTATATTAGGGAAAAAAGAAGACCCTGGCTGATCCAGTGATCCTCTGCTTCTTGCTGCTCATGCCTTTCTCTGTTTGTACTTCTGTTTTCAGTTCAAGTTTAATCCCGCCCAATCAATTCATCGGTCAGAAATGGTAAGGCGTTGTGGCAGATGGTGCATTCAACATTCAGCGTGATTTGACACTTAGCACTGCTTACAGTACAACGGAGGGATTTATTTCTTGAGCCGCGTCTATATATAAATGGGGTTGCCTGCATAATTATTTATGTTTACCCTAGTAATATGGGCCTTGATAATGCGTCTGCTAATTTGCCTAATCCTGGTTCTTGCTCATGTCCTGACTTCACTCCACCCCTGGAACCAACACAATTTCCAAATCCACCACTCTTGGGCAATTAACCTCTGCCAGTTAGGCAGTTACACAGGAGTGTGTTTTAAACATTCTTAATCATGCAGGCCAAGCATTAGTTATTCTAGAACAAGCAACGATCACAAACACAACTTATTCCCGGTCACAGTTCATAGCATATCAAGCAACTTGATCATGATCGACACATCTAGATGACACGACACCGTTTACCTCCTAAGTTAATTAGGTGCCGCGTGGTGTGATGATTCGGGTGGATCAACATCGTAGGCGAGGCGCGACAGAGCCGTGACGACGGTGCCGATGGGTGCTCTCATGGCATGACTGTCGTGGGTGCACACCGAAGCAACTTCGAGGGCCTCCTGCAAGTCCAAGGACGGATATCGTCCCTGCAGTGCCGGGTCTGCCATCCGGCGGAAGTGGCTCCTGTCCTTCATCATTGTTCGGGCCTGATCCAACAACAAACATCAGTACACGACATCACTCGGATCGTTCATGGCGAAACAAGAAGTTAGCAAATAGAATCCCAAAACCATGGCTAATTAATTTACCCATGTGACAAGGTGCCGATGCTCCATGGCATCCTGGGTGTGATCGATGGCCCTCCGCCCGGTGATCATCTCCAGCAGCACGACACCGAAGCTGTAAACACTCGACCCCGGGAGCAGCTTCCCGGCCATCGCGGTCTCGGCCAGTCCATATTGGGACAGCTTTGGGTGGTAGCCGTCTCCAAGCAAGATGTCTGAACTTTTGACGCATCGGTAGAGGACACCTTTGTCGTGCATATACTCCAACCCTCTGGCCACACCGGCGGCAATGTTCATCCTCGTGTTCCAGTCCAGTGGTGCTTTGCCTGGAGATGAATCTGATGGTCACAAGAGCAGGTGGTTAACTTTTTTCTGAATGAAATCAGGTGGTTAACCAAACGAATCATGAACACAGTTATAAGCTTTGTAGCTAGATTGTTGGCATGCATATAAATAGCACACGTACGCACTTACTTACCGTGGAGGTGATCTTCTAGAGAACCAAATGGCATGTATTCGTGAACCAAGATCCGGTGATGGCCATCCGCACAAAAGCCAATAAGATTGACAATATTTGGGTGGCGCAGCCCGCTCATCATCAGCGCAAGGGCAAGAAACTCTCCATTATCTTGCTCCGATGATCCACTTGGATCAACTGCATGCTGCAGCTTTATAGCAACAACCTACAGATGCAGATGTTGATTGATCAATCATTTTTTCCCTCACATTGATCATGTTGTCAACTCGTCATGGTACGCACGTATATGAAACTAACAAGTAAAAGGAGAAGAATTGGATCGTCACCTGATTGATGCTCTTGAGGAAGCCTTTGTAAAGACCATCCTCCCGACCAACGATGCGGCAGGTATCGCTGAAGTTTCTTGTCGCCGCCGCGAGCTCCTCGAAGGAGAAAGTTCGTGCCACGGCGCCAGGGACGCTGCTGGTGTGTGGATTGGCTGGGGCAGAACGTGGGACCTCCTTCTTCCTGGCGCTCAAGCAGGGGAAACAGCTTGCCATTGTTCAGCTTGACACCGGCTTAGCTTCCTTTTGCCAGATCTGTGTGTCAACCAGAACAAGATTGTGCTGCATTTTCAATAGACATAAGAGCAAAACTATTTAGCTTCACAGCAGGTCAGTTGACATTGTACTACGGAAACATATGTCCCTGGAAGTTCAAATAGCAATGCTATGTTTACCGGAGTTTTGTTAGACTCGTCTCACGGGTTTAAGTTGAATTCACAGGGTGTTAAGAAATATCATGAATAATCTTATAGACTGTTCTGTTTATACTGAAATTTTGAAGTCACATGCATGTTTGAAACTTTGAATACATGTTTCCTCGTGTGCCTTGAATGACCAGAGGCTTGGCTAAAATATGTTATCATCCTCAAGATATGCACAGCGGTGTAGGTCTGGCACCTTTTTTGTGCTGCCACATTTTCATTTCTGAACTTGGCTCAACTGCTAGATTCTGAACAATGATAAGTTGATAACTATCTTCTTTTTATTTGAGAATGTGATGATAACTATCTGTGCCAACTACTGTTCGTTTTTTCTGTGACACTGATGAATGAGGAATTAACAACTTCTCTACCATTAAATTATGTACTGTATGGGCTAGAGTTTGGGAAAATTAAACGTGCTGAAGCAGTGTAGATTCTTGAAAAGAAATAAACCAAAAACAACAATTTAGACCATAACCTGGAGCTAATCAAGACCAAAACCTGCCCAATCCCTGTTTTCTTTTTGCGAAATAGACAAGGAAAAAAGGAGCAAAACCACGCTTTCAGTTTTCAGATCTCAGCCACTCTCGGTTCTTTTCTTAAGACATCAGACCAGAGTACCAGACCAAGCTGATTTATTGTTACGTACGCTGGATTGGACGAATTCAGCCAGCGTGCTGAAGAAAAGGGGGAGTAGAGCGGGGAATTTTGGGGTTTTGGGGGACTTACGTTCTTGATGATCAAATCAGCTGGGGCTGCTGGGCCTTGGATCGAGCGTGACCTACTCGAGCCGAACGTGGTTGCAGTGGAGGAAGCCAGTGAGATCCAACTGCTCCGCCGGTCGGCTGGCTGACGATCTGCTTCAGAGTTCAACCCGCTGCTAGCTCCTCGCGCTTCCTCGGATCGTGGGTGGGCGCGCGTGATCTCCCCTGGGATGAGCCTGCTAGTTCATCGAGGTGGGGGATGAGTGGCCGGTGCCAGGGGACGACGGAGGGGAGAAAGGGGAAGAGACGAGTCCGTGTGGCGCAGGCGATGGACGCACCCGGCAGCTGACAGTCGCCGCACCAGCTGTGTAGTATAGGAGGAGGACTGTGGCTGCTTCCTTCCTGGAGTAGCCCGGCATGCCGAAAACGGAAAGTGAGACTGCTTGCGACTGCGAGAAAGAAACGGACGTGTCACGGGCGGTATGGCCGTCTCAGTCAATCAAAGTGGCCAGGAGGGGTGGGTGCGGGTATGTGCGTGTGTCAGTGTGTGTGTGACTTTGAAACTTTAAAACTTTGAAATGTGGTTTTTTTTAAAAAAAAAAAATAGCTTCATAGACCTTGAGCACCAAATGGAATTTATGATCTTCAAGATACTTCTTTAGAGTGCTCGAGAAATAAATACCAATATATAATATAGTATGCAACACATCGTAGCGAGTCGGAACACGTGTTCAACCGGTGCAACAGTTTTGGTCTGAGGACACACATTCTTGCCCCCTGTGTTGCCCTATTGATGGGTTGTGTACCCTGTGTGGCGTCTCACCAGTTCAGGACCCATAGTTCTTCTCATGTCTTGTTGTCCGCTTTCTATGGAGCATTGTCCATGAGGCCCTGAGAGTGAATGGCAGGCTCCGGACCTAGGACAGTTCGTAGAGGCCTAGGCCAACCATACAGATAGGAGGAGACGCATCTTCTAATTAGTGTTCACGACGATGACCTGAACCATGTAATGATGTGTAACAAGATAGTGATCAGGCATGTCTTTGTATGGCATGCATATTTAAATTTATGACCTCCTTTCAACATAGACATTCACTTTCTAGGCAATGGACATGGATTGGCTAGGCTCATGATTGGTCCGGCTCCCTGGAGCCATGCATCATCTTCTTTTTCTCTTCTTTTTTTTTGGCATGTTTATGTTGTTGCCTCAATAAATTTATTTATCTTTTCAACTTTCCGGCACTTAAACTTGATGAATGGACATGTGGTTTGCTACTTTGCTTTATACAAAACAGGGTCGAAACCTGTTTCGAGTAATTTAAGTCAATATATTTCTAGAAGATTTTTAGTGGCCAAGGATTTTTTTTTCTTTTAGAAAAATGCACCTATGTGTAGACTGTGGAGGCCCTAAAAATAGTTTCCACAAAAATAGTTTTTCGTCATAGAATTTAACTTTAACTGAGGATTTGGTTCACGAATGTCTTGTCCACTTTCATCCGTCTGACCAACCGTGTGCCCTTTGTACTCTCTCTATTTTAAGGAGCATAGCTTTAGCAACAACTTGCATACAAAAAGAAGTCAAGAGATGTTGCTTGCCCTTCATGTGTTGGCTCACTCAGCCAATCCGTTGTAAACGCCTTTTTCATGCATTCCATTGTGATGTAGCCATATTGCATGCAGATGTGGCGTGGTGATTGGTTTATTGGTTACGAGGTATCGGCGAGAGTGCCATCCCAGGAGGTGGGCGTGTAAGATCGATCCGCCGTCCGTTTCTGGCATGCATGTCCTACGCCCATCGATCCGTCCACACAGAGAGAGAGAGAGAGAGAGAGAGAGAGAGAGAGAGAGCGAGAGAGCACGCACACCTACACACACGCACACAATTAAGCACCTGCCTCACGGTCCTAAAACATAAGCACCTGCCTCACGGGCCATGCCACGCACATGAAGATAGTAACTTGAGCCTGGACATGCGTGAACCAACGCAATTGCACGGAATTGTCCTTGCTTTCACCTGCGCCGCCGCGTTGTCGAGGACTCAGAGAAACACCGTTCATGCCCAGAAACTACGATTTAGGTCCCTTTTTTTTCGGGTGTACGATTTAGGTCATCTTGGGTCAAAAGCACTGCTTCAACACATGCGTTGTTCGCAAGTGGTGATGGAACTTTTTTGGTGCAGTCCAAAGTGCTAAAAATTTGCAGAATCCATGCATCTGCCGCAAAATACGATATCGGCTGCGCGAACTCCCAATCGTCGCACGGAAGTTTCCCATCGCCCAACCTCCTCCAACCCGCGACCCTCATCGGCCACCAATTTGCCATCTGAAGGTCACTCAAGTGTGATTGCCGCTGTCGCCGGACTCACCGCTACTCCCGTCAGACCCGCAACGGTCCCTGTCGTGATTCCCGCCAAAACAATAAGAAGAAGGTTGCTCCCCCGCCAACCTTTCCACAACTATGTATTCATGTATGCACTTTTGTTTGTGGTTGTAATGCACAATTCTTGCAGCTTGATATGTTGAACTTGATTTTGAATAGTTGATTTGACCTTGAATTTGGTATGTTGTTTCATTATTTGTGTTGTGATCTCACAAAGTCTATCACGACATGTTCTGTTTCAACATCTATATGCAACTTTGGAGTACAAGAGAAGAAGGAAATCAATAAGGCACCACTTTTTCATCACCTGTTAGAGCAACAACAGTCATGGTGCCCAAAAATCTTCTCTTTCCTACCCTAAATTTTTTTGGGCACCAATTTATTCATGGTGATGCTCTCAGGCTCGGTCCACCACCACCTCGCTTTCGTTCAGCCTTGGGAAGTACTCCACCTCGAGAGGTCCTCCATAGTGCTTTGAGCGCTAATTGGCATTTCGACGCTTGCACGAAAAGTAGTGCGTCGAGGACCAAATTAGCACTAGCCTCTCTTGCCAGACTTGCTCGCTCGCTCACTGCATAGAGAAAAACTAAGCACTGCTAGTTTAGAAAAAAAACTGGCCCTCCAGGTTTTTTTATTAGAAAATTCATATTTTGAGAAAATATTCATGAATTTAAAATGTTCTCGAATTTAGAAAAGTGCACAAATTCCCAGAAAATTCACAAGATTGAAAAAGTTTTGCTTTTTCTAGAAAATCACAAATTTGGAAAAATATTCACGATTTAAAAAAATGTTTGAGCATTTAAGTTTTTCTCAAAACTTAAAAATGTTGGTGGATTTGAAAATTTGTTCATGGATTCGAAAAAACAATTCTTGTTTCAAAAAATTAAAATGAAAAATAAAATAAAAAGTAAAATAAATAAACCGACAAAACCAAACACAAACTAGTGAAAACAAAAAATAGAGAAAACTTAGCCCCCAAAACCGAAGAAACCCTTTTAGAAGGTTCCCAAAACCGGTGGAGAAGAGGGCCCGTATTTTTAGAAGGTTCCCAAAACCGGTCAGCCCGCTTAGAACCTAGCGGGATAGGTAGAGGGCGCCCTGTACTAATAGGCATGTCTTTGACGCGTTAAGCGCCAAATAAGATTCCGCCTCTACCTGTGCCTCTCATGAGTCTTATCTATGTTACAACTGCATGCCTTAGAGCATCTCTAGCAGACCCCGTATAACACCACGACCCGTAAAATAACCGCAAAAATACGGGTTGGCGCGGAAAATTCTGCCCCAGTAGACCCCGCAAACGCGTCCAACCCGTAAAAAATTTTGCGGGGCGCGGCAAAAGTTCGCCCTCAACCTTTAGATTCATGGGGTGGGAGGCCGACCCGAGCTCGCCCCCCTATCCGCAGCGAGATTTGGCGTGAGGGAAATTTCCGCACGACCGTTCCCACTCCCCCAACCCTCCTCGGCCGTCATTGCCCCGCCACCGCCCGCTCTGGTCCATCTTCCCCAGCCATTCTTCGCCGCCATGGAAGCCTCCCAGCCGTCCCCCGTCACCATGGAGGTCGATCGCGCACACACAATCCCCTCTGGTGGATCTCGTCGCCGGTCATGTCGCCCCCGTCGTTGCCCAAGGCACCATCGCGCCTGCCCGCAAGCGGCAGGGCAACGTTGTCGTGTAGGGAAGCAATCCGGCTGGCCCCGCTGGAAAGGCACG